GCAGTGTCCCGGGGTCACGTAATCCCCTTTTGCGACCTTCTGACAAGCAAAGTTAGTGGGGAAGCCAAATTCACTTAACAACCTAGTAGTGCTAACTTAACAGCTGCGGTGATTCACTTAACAACCCTAGCAAGAAAAGTCGTAAAAAGGGTCAAAACTCACTTAACAAATGTCTCGCTTAGCAACAGACATTTTGGACTCAATTGTGGGTCGTAAAGCGAGGACTACCTGTATACCTTCCTCTTATTTTCCCTGCAACAACCAAAGCCTCTCTTTCAGAGCTAAGGTGGGACTAGAACTCCTGATTTTTAGGCCAGCACCTTAATTACTACACCCAACTAGAATTCCCATGGATAGGTTACTTATCTGTGGAACGCTATTTTTATTGAGCCAGATTTTTTGAAGATGATTTGGAAAAATACCCCCCCCCAAAAAAAGTGGATTTAAGCTGGTTGATAGCAGATAGATGATTGTGTAGCACAGGGGTGTCAAACTGAAGGCCCGTGGGCCAGAACTGGCCCGTGGGGTGCTTAGATGTAGCCCGTGGGGCCGCCATGGAAACAGCAAAGTACCACCTGCGGTGCCCCTCCCAGTGAAAACGGAGCTGGGGAGCCCGTTTTCGCTGGCAGAGCGCTCGGGCCGCCACAGGCTCCCCTGACATGAGTGACATCGAGCTGGCCACGCCCAGTAGTGGGCTCCTCTTACCTTCGCTAAAGGTTCAGAACTCGTTTTGTGCGCGGCCCTTCTGCGCACGCGCAGAAAGTCTGTGATGACGTCTGGGAGGGTGGGCGGAGCCTCCCGCCATTGCCAGTTTGCCCGAACCAGGTCGAACTGGTAGTAACTGATCACTGGCCACGCCCACCCTGCAACTCCCACCCCCAGAGTGTACTATAGTACGGTTGTTGTAGTTTTTAATTCCACCAAGATAAGAGAATTTGTCTCTGAAAATTAGATTTCTAGGAGTCCCAACGATTTCCTACAGTAAGTGGCAACGGGTTTTACCATCACATCAATGTACGCAATATTGGCAGATCAACACCACCGAATAAGCTAATCATGTCGCGTGATCCCAGGCGAATCTGAGGTTTTCTTTTCCCCCAACAGATTGGAAAGATATCTAAAAATAAAAAGAAGAAACTAAAAAAAAAGCAAAAGAGGCAGGCTGAGCTCCTAGAAAAGCGTTTGCAGGAAATCGAAGAACTGGAACGGGAAGCTGAAAGGAAAAAAACGGAAGAAAACGTCACCTCTACTATACCATCCAACGAACAAGAGGACGGGTACCATCCCGAAGTTAAACTAAAAAGCGTAGAATTAGAAGAAGTGGCGGATGAAGAACCTGGGAATGAAGATGGTGAGTTAGTTCGTTAATTTATTGAATTTATTTTGCTGCCCAACTCATAGACGTAAGTCTCGGGGACTGTATATACACAGGTAGTCCTCAACTTATAGCCATTCATTTAGTGACCGTTCGAAGTTTGCACCGGAAAATTGATTTATGGCCATTTTTCACAGTAACGAGCATTCCCAGGGTCACATGGTTGAAAATTCAGATGCTTGACAACTGGTTCATACTTATGACGGTGGCAGTGTCCCGGAGTCATGCGATCCTCTTTTGTGACCTTCTGCTGAGCAAAGTCAGCGGGGAAGCCGGATTCACTTAACAACCGTGTTACTTAACGGTTGCGGTGATCCACCTTAACAACCGTGGCGAGAAAAGTCGTCAAATGGGGCAAAACTCACCGAACACCTGTTCTCGCTCAGCAACAGAAAATTTAGGGCTGAATCGTGGTTACAAGTCGAGGACTACCTGTATGCTTCACCTCACCTTGAAAGTTAGCATTTTAAAAGATGTTTTTACCTCATGACCTTTGTATCCCTCAGGAGAAACGGAAGACCAAGACGAGAAAGAAGACACGGAAAAAGAAAACACAGAGAAAGATGACGATCTGGAACAAGAATTAGCCAATTCAGAGTCCACGGATCCCACTTGGATAGAATCTCCCAAAACCAACGGCCACATTATCGACGGTCCTTTCTCCCTGGAAGACCAGATTGAGGAGGAAGAGGAAGATGAGGAGGATAGCCCCAGTGCCGAGCAATATAATCTCGACGAGCCAAACGCCAAAAGCGAGTACAGTTACAGTAGCTCTTACGAACAATTTAACGGCGAATTGCCGAACGGACGTCATAACATTCCGGAATCACAATATGATGAATTTTCATCTCCGGTGTATCCCGGAGCTTTAGATTCCGTCGCTTGTGGTTCGGTGGTTTCTGAAGAATCGACGGTAACCGAAAGAGAAGAAAGCACTCCATCCCACGATCGGAGCAGGACGGTTTCGGCATCCAGTACGGGAGACTTGCCAAAAAGTAAGCATTTTCGTTACCGTAACGTTACGCGATTGAGGTCTGTTTTAGAAACTCCTTAAGTGAAGATGCTGCTTCTACCCTGTGGAGTCCTTGGTGCTATCTGAGCTTGGTTGTTTTCTTGCAAACGTTCCATTACCCAACTAGGTAACATTATCAGTGCTAGAAGGGAGTAGGGTTTGTAGAAAGGAGGAGGAGGAGGAGGAGGGAGGAGGAGGAGGACTATGGGGTCCTTGGTGGTCTCTGAGCTTGGTTGTTTTCTTGCAGACATTTCATTACCCAACTAGGTAACATCATCAGTGCTAGTCAGGCCTAGAAGGCCTCCAAGGTCCCTTCCAGATCTGTTACTCTGCTGGTCCTCTAAGACCTGCTTTAGACCACTGCTAAGTAGGTAGCACTGGCAGCCCTGATGATGTTACCTAGTTTGGTCATGAAACGTCTGCAAGAAAACAACCAAGCTCAGAGACCACCAAGGACCCCTCAGTTCAACCCTGAGCTAACAAATATTCTCCTTTTTCTACACTTTCCCGTTTGGAATCTCGAATCTGCCTAATGCTGAGACGGTAACCATGTTTTCAGAATAAACCTTGATTTAGATTTGTCCTCAGCTGTGCATAGGCGTGGATACCTGTCTACGCTGCGCGGGGGTGGATGAGTAAGTACAGATTGCAGATGGTTGCAGACCGGCGGGATGTGCTCATCTCCCAAATCAACGACTCCACGTTGTGTAGAAAGGCGCGCCCTGCGTGCTGATTGATTGATCCGACTTCCTTCTTGTTCGCGCTCCCGCTAGCCAGAAAGTTAACATTTGCAGAAGTGTAAATGCAACCTGTCTCTGAATGACAGACACATATTTTCCCTGATGTGCAGGGCAAACTAGGGCTTAATGTGAAAAGAAAAAAAAAATAGAAATATGGCAATATTAATCAGATTTGTGTGGTTCACGTTGCAGAATGCTTCGTTTGCTATCATTTGATGCGGTATACTCAGGGGTGGGCTTCAAAAATCTCTGCCCGGTTGCTGAGTGGGCGTGGCCATGTCGGCCTCCTGCACCACAGCGGGGACAGCAGTGTTTTTGCCCTCCCTGGGCTCCAACGGCTTTCCTCGAGCCTCTGGGAGAGCTAAAATGGCCTCCGGAGGCCCTCTGGAGGCTGGAAACAGGCCCATTTCTGGCCTTCCTGAACTTCCGGTAGGCCCATTTTTTGCCCTCCCCGAGTCTCCGTGTGCACCCGGCACTTACCTGCATCCAAAACGGACCGTGTGGGGACTCCGGGGTGGGGAGGGGTGGGCGGGGCCAGCCAGGAGTGGGATTTGGGGGTTCTCCGAACTCCACAGAATCTTAGCTAGAGGTTCTCCCGAACCCCCAGCAGCCAATCCCTGGGTATACTTTTTTTGTATCAAAACATTGCTTTTGGGTGGAAGTGAAAACTGTATAATGAATATACAGGGTACCTGAAATGCCTTTCTGTCTGTGTGCAACTAGTGCTCAACTTACAATCATTTTGTTTTAGGGACCGTTTGAAAGTTACAATGGCACAGAAAAAAAGTGACTTACGACCGTTTTCACATCGGTGCTTTTTCAGGAAGCAACTGGACTTTCTTGTTTTTCCTTTTTCTTTTGAAGACGTTTCGCTTCTCATCCAAGAAGCTTCTTCAGCTCTGACAGGATAGTGGGGAATGGAAGGATTTATATTCCTTGCAGACAGCTGGAACAATTGCAGACTCCAGGAACCATTTGCACTACTCAGGTGACCCTGAGGATGCAAATAAAATTTGGATGTCTGGCAACTGGTTCATATTTATGACGGCCGCAGTGTCCTGGGGTCACGTGATCCCCTTTTGCGACCTCCTGACAAGCAAAGTCAATGGGGAAGCCAGATTCACTTAACAACCATGTTACTAACTGAACAACTGCGGCGATTGACTTAACAACTGCAGCAAGAAAGGTCGTAAAACGGGGCCAAATTCACTTAACACATGTCTCCCTTAGCAGTTGGAATCTTTGGGCTCAATGGTTGTAAATCGAGGACTACCCGTACAGTGACGATTCCCGAATACCGTAATAGAAGTGATTAAGTACCGACCCTGGACACACACCCAGATCCCAGAATTATACGCATTACATATGTATCTCAAAAGACAGTTCCAAAATGAGGCACATTTCAAAAAAGATAACATTGCAGAGCGGGATATTTGCAATAATACCAGACAATTTCCCATTAAAGGATATTAATCTTGTCTTTAACGTCAAGCAGCATAACAAACACTTAAGTACTGTATTTTTTTGGACTATAAGACGCACCTCATTATAAGACACACTTAAATTTAGAAGAGGAAAACAACAACAAAAAAAGGTTTTGGCCTGCCTTTTTTCAGGCCTTTTTTCAGCCTGTTTCGGGAGCTTTTTGCGACCCATTTTGGGGGCTTTTGGGGGGGCTGTTTTGGAGGCTTTTTTGGCCCATTTTTTGGCCTTTTTTTGGGGCCGTATTTGAGGCTTTTTTTGGTCTCATTTTTCTGAAAAAAATGGGTCGAAAAAGGCCTCAAGAATGGACTGAAAAAAGCCTCTAAAACAGGCCCCAAAAGCCCTGAAAACAGGCCCCAAAAGCCCCCGAAATGGGCCAAAAAAAAAAAAAAGCCTCCAAAACAGGCCAAAAAGCCTCAAAAATGGGCCAAAAAATGGCCTGAAAAAGGCTGAAAAAAGGCCTGAAAACACTGTATGCGGAGGCCAAAAAACAGCCGGCGGGTGGGCGGGGCTTCAGCAATATTCGATTTACAAGACGCACAGACATTTTCGCCGCCTTTTGGGAGACAAAAAAGTGCGTCTTATAGTCCAAAAAATAAAGTAATTCCAAAAAACTGCCCTCCTTTCCACGCTTCTCTAATGGGTCCGTTATAATTTTGTACCGAAAATCTACAGATTTGTGTTCCTCTATTCGTTCAGAAAATAAAACAAAGCCGCACCTTCAGTTCTAAAGTTTAAAAAGAAGACTGGACCGGAAGGATTATCATCCTGTAATTAATTTGTAATTGTGGGATTTGAGTTGTACTCTCTTTCTTGGAGTGGGGTGTGAGGGGGTGTGAATCCTCTTTAGCTGGATACCATTATGTCATATGATTGGATTGTAATATTTGTAATAATCGATTCCACACTAGGATAAAAAGTAAAAAAAAAAAAATTTTTTTTTGAGGAATATGCCATTTTTTTTAACGCTCGTTTGAAAAAGGCAGCTCTTTTCCCTGAAAATTCTTTTGATGGGCCTTTCCATGTAATGATCTTGCAAAAGACAACTGCGGTACATTTTCCTACTAATGTCCCTGTAGAAAATTGAGCCTGAGACACATAAATGAGCAACATTACCTGGGACACAGTCAATCAAATAAGCTACCTTGTCTACGATACTCAAACTAACCTCAGCCTCGCTCTCAAACTGACGTCCCACCACGAAATATAGGTAAGATTTTGCTTTTCAACACTTTTCCAGTTGCTTGGTTAGCATTAAACTTTAAAATAATGGGGTGTTTTAATAGCAAGGGAATTTTGGGGCAATTAAGGATGCTACAATATTTGCTTGATAATATATTTTCCTCACCTATTTTGGGATAAGCATACTGTCGCTCTGGAGAATACAGAATAGAGCACCTAGCTAGCTGAAAATGTCTGAGTTGAATAATTTATACAGAGGCATAATTTAATCTCTGTTGCATGATTTGGTGATCAGCCAATGGGAGAATGCCACTTTATAAAATCGGTGTCTATTTTCATTAGTTCTGATATATAGGATGATATTTTAGTGGGTTCTTTTTTTTTTCTTTTCTTTTCCAGAAAAGATGGTTGAAGGATACGGACTTCCGTCTAGCCCGCCGCAGTACGAGATCTCCAGCGAGATAACAAGAAAAAGAGCCGAATTCTTGGAAAGCTGAAGAGATGAAATTAACTAAGGAAGAATGTCAGTAACTCAGCAATCTGTCGATGATAAACGAAACAAGAAAATGAGCAGAAGCCACAGGAGTCCTAGAAAACTAGCAGCCAAAGTGGAGAATAGCAGCAGCAAACATGGTTTACCACAAGTCTTAAATGCTTTTGGACTCCGTTCATATTCTTTGTTGGATTAGATGAGTGGGATGGATGACAGCTTGGCTTTCGATATTTTTTTTTTTATTTCCGTAGCGATAACGTGAAAGCAAGTTTTGGATCAAGCTGATGTGATTTATTACTTTTTTTGGGTCATTCCTTCCTCCTGGAGCGTCTGACCTTGGTGGACATGCAACTTCTCCAGGAACACCCAGCGCATCGTCTCTGAACCAAGGCATCCGTGATCAACACCCTTTTTTAAATCCAAAACGAACAGAAGGAGAAGTTGGGAAATGAGAAGAAGCCAGAGAAAAAGAGTGAACGAATTTTCAGCCACTGAGCAGTTCACTTAATATTCAGATGACATGAAATATATAATGTTTATTATAAAAATATAAATCTGGAAAATCATTGTTTCCTCACAATTGAAAATGGAGGGATAGATAGATAGAGAGATAGATAGATGGAGAGAGATGGATAGATATAGATCGATCGATCGATCGATCGATCGATCGATAGATAGATAGATAGATAGATGAGGAGAGATGGATAGATATAGATTGATAGATGATAGATAGATGATAAATAGATAAATAGATAGATAAATAGTTATGGATAGATGGATGGATGGATAGAGGGATAGCTAGATATGGATAGATAGATAAATAGAGATATATACTATTGTGGAATATATTTTCAGAAATTACTCTTTCATCTACAGTTTTTTCTCAAAATGTTCAGTAGTGAGATTATGAGTAGTAGCTTCTCTTGCATTTTGCAGGGCAATTTTACAAATGCATTTGTTTAGTGACTGTTAAAGTTACAGTGGCACTGAAAAAAAGCGACTTATGACCGTTTTTCACACTTATGGCCATTGCAATGGTCACGTGATCAAAAAAGCAGATGCTTGGCAACTGTTTCATATTTACGACGGTGGCAGTATGCCCGGGGTCACAAATGGGGGACAAAATTCACTTAACAGGTTTCTCGTTTAGCAACATAAATTTTGGGCTTCGTTGTGGTCGTAAGCTGAGGACCACCTGCATACAGAAAACTCCCCAGCTCATTGAAAGCAAAACAAAACAGATAATACTCGTGTTCAGAGCTGGCAGTGAGGTACGATTTTGCTTGACGCACTTCTGCTGGGGTGAATTTTGCGAGATGTTTCTGATCTTTTCGGAGCCTGTTATAATTTTTGCCTCACAAACTTCACTTAAAAGCCACGCGTGGGAGACAAACTAGCTGAAGCTTTGTGAATCACGATTGTAAGTGTGAAAGTGAAGGAGGGTGTGTATGTGTGCGAGAGATTTAGCAGCCATTGCTGAATAAATAAAATCGGAATGAGGAATTGTTCACCCAATGTTATAGAAATTATGGTAATCCAACTCTCTTAGATTTGTAGCATTAATACCTGAAAATTAACAGGACGGCTGCTGAGAAACAGCTAAAATTATTCAACCCAAAGGGATCTATTTTGTTGAATTTAGGTAGTCCTCGACGTACGGCCGCAATGGAGCCCAACATGTTGCTAAGGGAGACATTTGTTAAGTGAGTTTTGCCCCATGTAAGACCTTTCTTTCCCACCGTTGTTAAGTGAATCACTGCAGTTGATAGATTAGTAACATGGTTGTTAAGGGAATCTGGCTTCTCCGTTGATTTTGCTTGTCCGAAGGTCGCAAAAGGGGATCGATCCCATGACCTTGGGACACAGCAGCAGTCATAAAAGTATGAACCCGTTGCCAAGCATTTGAAATTTGATCACATATAATATTTGAGTATTTTTTAAAGTTAATAAAATATCAAAACTACAAAAAATATACTATATATATATATATATATATATATATATATATATATATATATATATATATATATATATATATATATATATATATATATATATATATATATAATTTCCTCAGGTTTTCGCGGGTGTTTGTATGTAGGTCTTTGGTTATTCGGGTCTTCTCCCACGTAAAATTGGAAGTGTCTTGGCGACGTTTCGATGAAGTCTCATTCGTCATCTTCAGGCTGGTGTTCTCGGCTTCGTGCTTCCAGGACGAAGCCGAGAACACCAGCCTGAAGATGACGAATGAGACTTCGTCGAAACGTCGCCAAGACACTTCCAATTTTACGTGGGAGAAGACCCGAATAACCAAAGACATATATATATATATATATATATATATATATATATATATATATATATATATTATATATATATATATATATATATATATATATATTACAGAGAGAGAGGGGGGGGAGGGAGGAAGAGAGAGAGAGAGAAAATATATATGGATGTATGTGTGTGTATATATAAAGTGTTTTTCTGTCGAAGCACCTGGTCTACCCCAACATGTGGGAGGGAGCATCCTGCTTCCCTTTCGCCTTTCAGCTCCAATCCAGGAGCCCTCAAGCAGTCGCATTCACGACAAACCATTTTATACCAAATTTATATATATATGGACACGGACACACTATAACAGAAGCATATACACAAGAAAGTGAAGCAGAGATGGTCAAATTGATTCTTTTATCCAAAGAAGAGAGTATTGCTTCCGGATTTCATGCTTGCAATGAAAAAAAATAATAATAAGGAAGCTTTGATTTTGCTAATTAGATTCTATTGTTATCGAAATGGCTTGTACATACTGTTGTGAAAAAGTAAAAAGTTGAGGTTATAATGCTGTTATCTCCTACTCTGCTAAAGAGAGTTGGAAGTCGGGGCCTTTTTTCCCCCCTTTTCCCTCTTTACACCATATTTTCTTTTTCCTCCCCCTCCTCCTAGTTTTCTATTACTTTTTTGAATTTCTCTTTGTGTTTTATATTTCGATAAATTAAATTTTTTTTTTTAAAAAAGAAAATTTGATCACGTGATCGTGGGGACGCTGCAGAGGTCTTAACTGTGAGAAACAGTCCTAAGTCACACTTTTTAAAAAACTTTGGTCACTAAATGAACTGTTGTAAGTCAAGGACTACCTGTAAATTATCTCATATCAGAATCTCTGATATGGAAAATTCTTAGTGGGGTTTGATTTAGAGAGGCACCTTTCTAAAAAGCCAATACAATCCTAAATTGCATCAACAGAGGGATACAATCAAGATCAGGTGAGGTACTAATACCACTCTAGGAAGCCGTAGTAAGACCACACCTGGAATTCTTAATCCAGTTTTGGTCCCCACACTATAAAAAAGATGTTGAGACTCTAGAAAAAGTGCAGAGAAGAGCAACAAAGATGATTAGGGGACTGGAGGCTAAAACATACGATGAACGGTTGCAGGAACTGGGCCTGGATAGTCTAATGAAGAGAAAGACCAGGGGAGACATGATCACAGTCTTCCAATATTTGAGGGGCTGCCACAGAGAGGAGGGGGCTCAAGCTATTTTCCAAAGCATCCGAAGGCCGGACAAGTTACAACAGCATCGGAAAAAGTGCCATGACCAGTTTCACACTTACAACATTTGCAACATCCCCCCCACGTTCACCTGATGGAAATTCGAACCCTTGACAACTGACGTGTATTTATTGACAGTTGCAGAGTCCGCAGGAATCGCACGATCCCCATTTGCAACCCTTCTTGAATGTATATGCCTATATTGTATATAAACTTAATAAAAATGTATTTTACTTTGCTCCGTGTGGTCTATTCTGGAGAGTTAGAAAGAAATGTAAAAGACTTTTTTTTAAAAAAAAAAAATCCCCGATAAAAGAGAATATATTACATAGGGGGCTTTTTGTGGCAATTATTTGGGCTGTTAGCTCTTTTCAAAATTGTGGTTTATTCTGGAGAGAGAGAAAGAAATGTAAAAGAGATTTTTTTTAAAATAACCTTGATAAAAGAGACTATATTAATTAAGGAGTTTTTTTTCCTGGCAATTATTTAAGTTGTTAGCCTCTTTCAAAATTGTGTATCGTAATTGTGTATTGTAATCAAAATTGTGTATCGTAATTGTGTATCGTAAGCAAATATTGTGGGCCCAGTTGGCCAAAGAAAGTTCAGGACCATATTGGTAGGAAACAGGAGGAAGAGGCCTTCATCCCACAGTGGATAGACAATGGTTAAAATGATGATGATTGTAATTTATAGTATGTTAGGTTAATCATCGGTGTATCCTTTAAAGGGACATGGTGGCTCAGTGGCTAAGATGCTGAGCTTGTTGATCAAAAGGTCGGCAGTTCAGCGGTTCGAATCCCTATTGTCGTGTAACAGGGTGAGCTCCCATTGCTTGTCCCAGCTTCCGCCAACCTAACAGTTCGAAAGCACGTAAAAAAGGCAAGTAGAAAAAAAACCTTTGGTGGGAAGGTAGCAGCGTCCCGTGGGGCTTTGGCGTTTAGTCATGCTGGTCACATGACCACGGAGATGTCTTTGGATAGCGCTGGATCTTCGGCTTTGAAACGGAGATGAACACTGCCCCCTAGAGTTTGGAATGACTAGCACATATGTGCGAGGGGAACCTTTACCTTATCCTTTAAAACATTTTCTTCCTACGTATTCTGATGTCAACCTGAATCTGGCCTGGCCGAAGCCATCTGGGAGCTTCAGTGCTGTCACACTGGAATTGAGCGATAGGGAATGGGGATAGGAGATAGCTGGGGCTGTGTAGTCAAAGTAAACTACTTTCTCTTGGGAACCAAGGTCATTCTCCTTCCGTCGAGGCCTAAAGATTTGGCTATGTCAACAAATGGGCTGAGTTCTGATTCTGGGGTTTTATTATTTATTATTTTGATTTTAATTGGTTTTAATTAGATTCTTCTTTTATTATTGTACGTTTTTAGCTTGTGTTCGCCGCTCTGAGTCCCTTGGGACAAGGGCGGCATATATATATATATATATATATATATATATATATATATATATATAATATATATAATATATATATATATATATATATATATAATATATATATATATGTATATATATATATGTATATATATTATATATATAATATATATATATATAATATATATATGTATATGTATATATATATATGTATATATATATATATATGTATATATATATATATATATATATATATATATATGTATATATATATATATATATATATATATATATATATAAAAATAAATAAATTCTCACACCTGTTCGGAGGAAGGAGGAGTGACGTCACCAGGCAACCAGACAGTGTCTCGATTGGACCACGTGACTTGATTGTTTGGGGTTGAGGGAAAAACTTTCACTTTTAATTAGGTGAAAACAGCGGGAACCTTCAAGAGTCGGTTTTGACCAGATTTGTGCCAATATGATATATCCAATAAAGCTATTCTTTGACGAACGTGCCTGCCTCGGAGTTTTGCTTGGTATGGGTATATTACAGTGATGGCAAACCATTTTGGCACCAAGTGCTGAAAAAGTTGTGCGGAAATGTCGCGCATGTGCACTCGTCGGGGCCGTGCCCCAGAAAAGTCGAACTTCTGGGTCCTAGCGTCCAGGCGCACCTGATGATCAGCTGGCCGGTGGGCATTCACAGGCCTGTTTTTGACACTTGCGCGCACGAAGGGATCGTGCTCCAGAAAAGCCGAACTTCCGGGTTCTGGCACGCAGGCACACTCGACAATCAACTGGCTAGCGTGCATGCGCGCCCCGATTTTCAGCACTGCCACGCGCATGAAGGAGAGCTGATCATCACACGTGAATGCGTGCCAGAAACCCGAAAGACACAGGCAAGGCTGCGTGTGCCGGGCGACATGGCTTCGCGTGCCACTTTGGGCACGCGTGCCATCGGTTCGCCATCACGGGTCTATTACTTGGAACCCTGACATCTGAATTCTTTTTTTTTTAAAGATGGCGAAGACATCAGCTATTTTTTGCTCTCCACAATTGGGATTTCTCTAAAAAAAAAATGCATGTTGGGTTATGCGCTCCAAATATTAACTCTTGTATTTCTTTCTTTCTTTCTTAATAGCAAAAACTCGGGCTGCTGATTTGCTGGTGAATCCTTTAGATCCAAGAAACGCCGATAAAATTAGAGTTAAAATTGCCGATCTGGGAAATGCTTGCTGGGTGGTAAGCGTAATTAATTAATTAAACATCTCTACAACT